GTTTCTGCCACCTCAAACAGGGAAAACCGTTTGATCCAGGGTTTCTAACGGTTCAGTTTCTACCACAGAGGTTATCACAATCTAATAAGGACATTTCTGTTGGTTCATCGGAGTGTCAGTCAAACACTTCAGTCTGTACTCAAATCTCGCTGGATGTCAGTTTCCTGGACAAGCTTTCGTCAGGTGATCGTATAAAACACCTCCGTTTGATTCAGGTTCTTTGAAGTGAATAGTCATCATCTCAATTCACTGATCATCCCCAGAAAAACTATATTTTTAAAGTTTGGAGTGTCTTGAAGTCGTCTTCAAATGAGATTGATCTTCAAGACGTCTGTCGGTTTTCTAATCCCACTGAATAAACAATTCCAACTTGTGCCACCTCCATATCGTAAAGCATCACAATATCAGACTCTTAGTTGACATCAAATGTGAAGATCTTAAAATACTGATCCCATCTAAAATACTGATGTCAAGGTCACTATGAGCAGATTTTCTGCAAAGACAAAAACTACATTGGTGATTGGGAAAATGGGTGAGATACCAACCAGGGCTTCTCTCACTGATAAAATGATCGTGATTCTTTATGTAATAAAATGTAATGATAAAACTTTTGGGTATTTACTGAATTTCCAATTCAGACAGTTCAGTTTTGAGCGATATTCCAATTTGTGCTCAGTTAGTGAGTGAGTATGGTTTTACGCCACTTTTCGTAATATTCCAGCAAAATCGCAGCTGGGTCCATACCGCAGCCATATAGCTGGAATATTGCCGAGTGTGGAGTTAGTCAACAAACCAACCACTTATGAATAGAGAGAGAATATGAACTTATGTAACATCAGAATATGAACTGTATCGCACCCTTATTATCGGGATACATACTGTATCACAACTGTATTATATCGTTACATCTCTTTTGCTTGGATTCACCAAAGTAGTAAAGATTTAAGAGCTTCACCACTTGGCTTTACACCCTTAGAGGCCACATGTGATATAGCCGTTATAAGCAGCTTTATACCAAACTCACTCACTAATACACCTGCCAGCTGTCCAGTCATGATAAAGTAAGTCACTGGGATGTCGATTAAAACATCAAACATAAAACTTCCAGGATCAGTTTTGTTGATAAGACTTGAAAACTCAAATCAAACCCTAGTCATCAAATAATTAGGGTGTGAGTTCGAATCCCGGATGGGACTCCACCCAACAAAAATACAAGAATCTGTACTTTACTAAGAAAGTGTAATCCCAAATATAACATATTTTACATCAAATAACTAAATATCAATTTTACAATAAAAGCAAAGGTTCCTAGGTTTTTCTTTATTCTTTGTAGACACAGCCAAAAAATGACAATAAGAAATATGAACTAAATAACCATTTCCTAACAACATACAAACTATCAAAAGGAAATGATTCCTTACAACTCAATGTCTGTCATCAGCTATAATTCAGTTGTGTAAATATCAAAGTTGTTTATGAAATATAAAACAAATGTAAACATGATTGATAATCACCATAAATCATCCCTGAAACCCCAAACCTATTAAAATTCAAGTAACTTGAAAAATTGTGTCTTTATAGCTATAACCTATTACGGAGGAAGTGCCCCTCTGATAATTTGATTACAATGCAGAATGGCTTCACTCCAGCTGCCCAAATGTGTTTTTTGACAAAATATTCCCGATTCAACCCACTCTATTATTTTCTAAAAGGGCACAAATTACTTTGAACTTAAATACAGAGTTCATCATTTACATATTTTGAATGCAAGCAGCAGCTTGTGTTCGTCCAGTCCATGTCAAAAATCATGTTTGCATGAATGGCTCAGTGGTTTAATGTGATCAACCTTTAGGTGCGATAAGCGTAGGGGTGCGAGACTTTTCAAACATGGTTCATTAAAGTTTGTTAAATGTCTTTCTACTGCAGTTATACAAGATGGATTTAAGGCATCTGTACTTTCCACTCTTTGTCCGTGAATCGGTAAAAATCTGTACAGAGTGTAGTAAACTATAAACCTCAAGAAACAGACGACGTAGCATGTGTTTGATCACACAAAAAGAATCGTCAGTTGAATAAGATCGCGAGACATTGTGAAAACTATAGTTGGAAGGAATTCCTTTCATACCCCACTGTACCCTCGATGACCTTTTGATCAAATACTCAAACATCACGGTATCCGCTCAAAGGTCTCTTGGTGCACTCGGGTTATTCAATAACGACATTTCTCATAATTCACTATTGTTAATATCAAGTGTTGCATCTGACATAAATGTTAAATACCCATCATGTAAGTTCCTTTGAACCTCAAAAGTGTAAAATTTCGTCTTACATATGTGATACCATTTTTTAAGCATTTAAGTAAATGTACATTTGTAATTGTGATTCTGCATTAAACCCACTTAAATTAATTCACAGTTTGTGGATTCCTAATTTACAAAATGCATGAGAACAATATATTTTTAAAAGCTCTCAGTAGTAACTAACCCTAATTCCGATTCAGTTCAGATAAATTAAAGTATTACTTACACATAATATCTTCAAAGGATAGATTGTTCCAAAGCTTAACACATCTTTATGTTACGCTGTCTAACATGAGATGTCTAAAAGTGTGTTATCACATGTTAAGTATGGTGTTAAATGCCTCAGAGAAGCATTTACTGATATGATCATAAAACAGCATCAAAAGATACTCATTAAAGACTCTTTTTTCCTCATTTAAAAATAAAATACGGGTTAAAATGTTCTTTTAACAAAAGACAATGGATTTACGACCCCCCACTGGTTTTCAACGAGTAATTCCAACAGCATTAAGAAGATGAATGAGAGATCGGTAAGACTATTTTTTGGCTCAAGGAACAGCTGAACAGTCTGCTAAGTTTCCATTTCTGGAAGTCCGTGAGTTATCAAGATTGTCAGAGAAAAGCTCGGCAGATCAAATGTGGATGTATCCAAGTTTCATGACATTTTCCTCGTCTAAAATTGATACATTGCAGAAAAAACATTTCATCATTCAGAGCAAGTTAATCAGAAGAGTCTAACATCTGGTTATCTGAAGTTAAATGTTTAAACAATGTTAATTCTACATCTACTATGGTTAAAGCTAGCTAGAAGTCCTCAAATCTTTGAGAGTCTCATTAGTGAAGTCGGACTCAGGGCCAACTGAAAGCACATTTAGAACAATAAATCAAGATGAAATTCTACAAAGGGAAAAAATGAGTCTCTCCCCTGAGAGATGTATTTGGCCGAAGCTTTCAATTGAACAGACAAAAATTAATGATTTTGTCTAATGGAGCATGCCCTTGTTGATAAATGGAGAACAACATTGAACTGAGTTAAACTGATTTTCCTAAAAGCTAAGACCAAAATTAAAAAGAGAGTTTTTCATTAAAAAGGCTTAAAAAACAACACTGGGACTGTGACCAGTTAATTGTTTCATATTTGATATTTCAAAGCTTCCAAATTGAAAAGGAAGTCTGCGAGACACGATTGATGTTGGTTGAGATGCGAGGTGAATGTTGAAGGCCAAGATTCCAATACATTTAAAGAGTGCTCACAGGTAAGTCAGGCTTTAGGTGCAACCAAGCGTGAGGTAATCTCAACAACCACAATGACTTCAAAGCGTGGATCACTAGAGCTGTTTCTTTCGTATACAATAACACTGTGGGTTAATATGCCATTACGAATGTGCGGAGTGTATAAACCGACAATCTGCCGTAAATCATTCGCAGAATAAATGCAAAGCCATACAAAATGACCCTGTGTTATCTTCCCTCTTAAGGTTGGGTAGAACTGAAGAAGAATGTGTGAAAGAACATCCACGTGCTGTCTGTTTAGATAGCTACGACAAGGATTGTCATTCATAGTGGTTGTACTTGCCTACAACTAATAATATCTAATTGATATATCTTTACTTATGCTGTTTTCCTATACACTTGGTCACACTTAATCAGAACATAATTTTGTGTGTTTTTATGGCGAGAATATTGGGAATGAATTCATTTATAGGAACCCTTCAATGAAAATAATCCTTTTGAAATGTCTGATTACAGGGTGTGCTCTGTAAATAAAAACTGTCAAGCCTACAGATTTCAATAGCAAGGACTGGCTCATTATGTCTGATATTTTGACCTTGGGCAATAAGTATACTTTTTAATAATGCCTCTCATTCAGCAAGGCCATCAAAAGTCAACTATATCAGCTGTGTCTACAAATAGTAAAATAATGAGAGGATATTCCAGAAATCAATTATAGTTCATAATTTCAAATATATTTTTAAATTTTCATTTATTTCACCATCACAAGTTAGGATTAACTTAACCTTAAACAGATCCCTTAAATACTACTATTTGAGATAATCTCCCAAACGGCTCCTGAGGGACATATGGTCCGTGAGAAAGGACTGGCCTGGCTAAGTAGGCCAGTAGGACCACATGGTCATCAATGGTCATCTTCGGTCATCCCGTATGTCCACCAACACACCCTAACCAGCAGGATGCCAAACATTCATTCACCTAGTTTGTCTACACTATGAGTAAAATCTCCTCTTTATGCCCCGAAAGTGTGATAATCCCTGCATGATTATCCTTTTGTTCCGGCAACAGTGGACACAATAAAAACATCCCCCATCATGGAAGCCGGACGATCGACCGGTCATTCGGACACTGCCTATTGATCGGGACAATGTGGAGTCTCTACGACCCTCGAAACGTCTCCAGTTGGGCTTCCTTTACAGATATTATTATTTCCCCATATAAGCTACAATTAGAGATAATCTTCTAATATATACAATATCAACAGCCAGAATAATACCCTTTAAGAATCTGCCCAAAAATATCTATTTGACAGCTGTCAACATTTTCAAAAAAAAATGTACAGAAAAAGATTTAAATCACATCAGCATACACCTTCAGTATCTTCTACAAAAGGTAAAGACGTTTCAACAATCGGTGTCGCCCAAGTCGTTAGATGACAACAGGCACAATACGCTGGCATGTACTCACTGTGAAGCCTCCCATTATGTTGAATCCAAGCGATGCTTCTCCGTCACGTCCCAGGGTAACAGTGAAGCCTGTGTCCTCCGTCGAGCCCTGAAATGACACGCACAGATGGCACTTAGGACGATGCTTCTTGCTTAGACTGGCGATCTGCATAAACCGGCCTAATTAATATTCATATCCATTGTGTCGGTCACTTGACAAATCAAATTGAACTGACATGACGAACAAATCACACTACCCGGCCTTCTCCATTGGAGTCATGATAGTGTCGAGTTGTATTCCTGGATTGCTATTTAGTCTCTCTAAGATTCAATAATAAACACAGGGCTGTGACTCCATCGAACAATGCTACGGCTTTAAGAGATGTCAATAACACTCTAGGTATTATTATGTTTAAAATCTTTTTAACAACTGCAAATTTGCTTTCCTGATTTTGAGAATTTGGGTATTGATTTTTAATGCTGTTCAATATATTCAAATGATTTTACTAACGAGTAGCTAGAATTTCTATATTTGGTACTTGAGATCAAAGAGACCATATTTGGCGTAAAGATTTAAAGACAATTGGCGAAACAACTCCCTGTAATTATTTGACGAGCCATTCTTGGGACAAGTCATGGTCCAATTAGGGCTTAATGAGATGAGATCATTAAAGCGTGAATTGTTGAAAAGTACATCAGCTGGTCTCCGAGGTAACCAATAACACTGGGAAGATAGTTATTCGATTTGTTATTTTCATTAATAACAGATTAATTGGCAATTTACAATTACTTTCATGTAAATAATATTTTTTCAAAGCTTTATGTCCATCATGTCAGCAAATATAATGACTGACATCTTAATCAAGTGACCAGTGAAAAATTGACATTTTGATGAATTCTGACAGCTGTCAATCAAATGATCGGCCACATTCAACATTTTACAACTGACAACCCAAAACGCTCCACTGATTCTTTTATTGAGAAAAAGACACTTAATCAGCTGAGGCCACTGTCATTCCATTTGGTTCCTAACCTGATTTTATTTGAACAAGTCGTATGATAATAACAAGATTTCCTATTTTATGAAACTAAATATTTTCCCATCTATGCCAAATGTGCACTGGATTAAAAAATGAACTTCTTTTAATCTGCAGCATTCAAAAATAAAATGTGAAATTTATGGAGTGACATAGCCATAGGGTCATTATCAGAAGCCTGTTAAAATCCTTTTCATTAAACTTTTATTGCTCCTTAAGTCCTTAACTTGTTCAATTCCACTATAAGCCTTGACAAATTTCAGTGCGAGGTTCCGCCTGGTTGTCGAGGCCAATAGCATCTAGTTGCAAATACAAGCAATTACATTCTCAACAGGAATGAATGATTTGAATACATTAAAGGAAAACAGTTAACATTTAGAAATAGCGCTCCCACATCTCTGTCCTTAGTTCGGCTCAGCATATCATTATGATGTAGTCATTTAACAATTATTTAAAGATTTAATTGTTCTTTTGCTCATTGTTTTGGCTGTTCCAGTCGGTGTTCACAGCTTCTGTCAGACAGTGAGCTGCAGGTTTCAAAGATGGAAAATATTTGAGGCGACATTTGAGTCATTCTTCAAGGCGCGACACAGAAATGTAATGAGCCATCCAACAAAAGGAACCTGTCTCCTCTATAAAAGAAACCCCTTTAATAAAAACCATACAGCTCATTGTGACAAAGTTTGGATTGAAAGTTACTTCAGAAATATTGTTGATATATCTATTCCAGACTGGCCAGGAAGTACATGTTATTGCACTGAGTGAACTGGCTTCAGTGTTATCATAATAGAAGAAACAAAACCATTCCTAAACACAAACCATTGCTGAATTTGAGGTACAAGTAAAAATATATAACACAATGTTTTCTTTAAAAAGGGGACTAAACGACAGGATATCTTTTCTGAAACCTGATGAGTAATTATTTTTGGTCAGGAAAGATAAATGGATTGATTGTATGGTTCACTATCAAATCATCATGTTTACTACCTGTGTCAACACAGGCTTTACTCAAAACTAAAATCTGACATAATATGAAATAGGCTGAAAGGCTGATAGCGATACTAATATTACCAGGCTTTCACTAAAGTTGATGTTAGACTGAAAATCACTCACACGTCAATATGTAAATTATTTTCCTGGAGCTATTACTGAAACAAAATCCCACATTGTACAAGTCAAATAGGTGTCTTTAATGATCCCGTCTTGAGAGGATCAGCAATCATAAATGTTCGATATGGGCAGTTGCATTAAGTCTTCAGTCTATCACCATAAAATACTGGTCACTGACATTCCTATGTACAGCTTCAATCAATTACATCCACAACTAGATGACAAATGATCTTCAGAGAACCATCACTAGCAGTGTTCTTCATCTCAAATTGAACCTTCTGAAATTTGCCCTTCAGCCTCCCTCAAGGTCATACAGATTTCATCTTTTCATTATTGACAGGATTAAAACATTAATGGATTCTAAGTCATTCTCAATCCATCTACCACTCGTGATTAACATCTACAGTTAATAAAGCTCAGTTAGCTGTGAATGCCTGAAGGAATGTTTTGCATCAACTGTCATGGTGAGACACATAACCTGCATCAGGTAACAATGGGCGAAGATCTCATCCTAAGTGGCATGTGATTCATGTCAGCCCATGGACAAGAATCTGTTCACAACCGCTTCTTGTCTACTTCATCATTTTGCGCATGTGTAAATAAAAACTCCTAACATTTCGTCTTTTGAAGAATAATGTGTCACCTCAAAATATAACATTAAATGACTTATCTTCATAAATTAGGCTTCTTTTCAGACAATGACTGTTCTTCTAACAAAACAAGGCAGACATGTCATCATTTTTCTTAAAACTGGCAGAAATGTTTGCAACATTTTTCTCAGTCATTTTGTCAAATCCAACCTTCAGGCAACATTTGTCTCATGGAAAGTTGTTTATCAAAATATGTTCAAGAGTGATAAATTATATGACTGCTTGTTGTCTAGTGTACCCCATAGCTATGTCAGCTTCATCCTCCATGTGTATTTTTATCCTTTTGTACTGCTTGAACTGCTTCAACATGAATTAGTAAAACAATGAAAATTAAGCAAATCCACATCAAAGATTAAACACTTTAATTTATCTTCATGATTCATGATGAGGGTGAAAATAAGCTCATGTAAAAATCAAACCAAATTAAAAGCCAAAAATGTGTCCTTTACATTCCGAATTTGTGTCTTGAAAGCCTGTGGGAAAACTGTTTGGCATACTAACACAATTTTAATCGGTTACAATATTCCTCATGTTAATTGTGAACTATCAGTTTTGAATGGCAATCAATCATTTCCAAATACTTCAAAAGTGCCCAGAAACTTTTGATCTTTATACAAGCTGTGACGGGGGTCATACTGAAAAGCACCAACAAAGTGATGAGATCTGCATAACAGTATCCATCATTATTAAATGTCATCAGTCTTGGAACAAATTGACATTTATCGTTCTGCCCAAGAAAACTTTAAAGTAAAATTTATGAAGAATAGCTTTTCTTTTCAGATGGATTGTACTAAATCACTGTCCCTTGAATTGATAACAATAAATATTGATTTTAAATCTCTCATCCAATGTCTAAAAATTGATCACAATATTACCAACTACAAAGAGATTTACAGAGAAAACCCTGCTAATCCAGACAATAATTAGGAGTGATATGGTCTGGATGAATGAATTAATAAATCTATTGTGAAGTAGTGATAGAATTATCGGAAAGAAAGGTTTCCATGATCAATGGGTGTCGACACTCTTGGTTTCCCTGCATAATACTAACTTTTTGGACCCGTGAAGATCCGGGGTAGAACAGGTCTTCAGCAACCCATGCTTGCCACAAAAGGCGACTATGCTTGTCGTAAGAGGCGACTAACGGGAACGGGTGGTCAGGCTCGCTGACTTGGTTGACACATGTCATCGGTTCCCAATTGCGCAGATCGATGCTCATGCTGTTGATCACTGGATTGTCTGGTCCAGACTCGATTATTTACAGACCGCTGCCATATAGCTGGAATATTGCTGAGTGCGGCGTAAAACTCAACTCACTCACTCACTCATAATACTAACGTTTTGATACAAATACTGAGATACTTAATGCTTTTTACATACACATATCATAAGTGACATTTGGTGTTTAAAGGTACGACCATTAATGGCAAATAGAGTATCCTGTCAGGATTCTGCCAAAGGAATGAGTGAGTTTGGTTTTACACCGCTTTATCAACATCCCAGCAATATCATGGCGGGGGGACACCAGAAATGGGCTTCACACAATGTACCCATGCGGGAATCGAACCCAGGTCTTCAGCATGATGAGTGAATGCTTTAACCACTAGGCTAGCCCTCTCCCCCTCTGCCAGAGGAAAATACTATGGCACCAAAGATAAATTTTCATCCATGAAACAGAAAACTACAAAGCCATACATATATCTTCACAACTAATCATATCTGATCTAAGAAGATCCCGATTAGTCTTCAGCAACCCATACTTGTCGTAGAAGGCAACCAAGTGATCGGGCGGTCAGACTCACTGGCTTGGTTGAATCATGTCAGTCTATCCTAATAGTGTAGATTGGTGCTCATCATATCAACCACCGGTTTGAGCATTCCAAACTCGATTATTTACAGACTGCTCTCATGTAGGTGAAAACTGCTAGGTAAGGTAAGCAACAAACAAACTAAACATATGAAAAAGTTACGTATTTGTAAACCAAATTCTATTCTAATCATGCCCATATTTAAGACAAAACTGACAGTTCCCTGTTAATAACATGCCTGAAAGTGTAATTAAAGCATTACTGGAACTTTCCATTTTCGAAAACCAAAATCAGTGAAGCGTGACATGGACAAAGCTATTAAATACTTCTCTGTTTATACAAGTCATCATGAACAAGGCGACAGCTTGCATGGTATATGTCAATATCACCTCATGATTGTTTATTTCAACAAAGGCCACTACTCGAATGTATAAACTAGTATCACTTGGTGCAGGTACAGTTCGCTGATTTTATGTATTCTATTGCCAATTTCATGGCATGGAT